GCTTTTTGGGGTTTGTCCCGTGTGTGGGGGGGGGGGGGGGGGGGGAACGTTGAAAAAAAATCCCACTTACCAACATCCTCAAAGAAATATATGCTCATTCTTCATACGCAATGTTGTGCCTCCAAATGAAGTCATAAAGGTGTACTTTCTTTCAAGTTTCTCTCTCTTTTATACGAGCCAGTTTTGCACGGATTTCTATACCTAGAAAGCTGAAATTCCCACATCACACCCTGTCCTTGCAGGAGGGAACTGTTGTCTTTGGGAGCTCAGTCTTTTATGTTACCAGCAAACACCAGTTAATTTAGTATCATGCAAGTACAGGGCGATACTCAAGTTTCTTCATTTTTCAGTTTCCACAGCTATGAAACGGGCTGTTTCATAAATGCTGTAGATTCAAACTGAATGAAACAAGTGCTTTAAAAATCTAAACACCTTATTTCAATCAGCTGCAAAAAAAAAAAGTCCCTCCCCTTCTTGCCCTGTTTTTTTTGTCCCCCCTGCCCCCTTCTTTTTATTAAATGTGATTAACTTCACTCAACATTCCTTGCCGAAAACCAAACCAAACCTCGCCACCACCAAAGCCTCCGAGAGGGGCGTCTTTTCTTTCTGCAACAGCAGCTTTTCACACAGGCAGAAGAAACCTCAAAAATTAGCCTGCAGCACTACGCTTTAATGTCAATTTATCTGAAAATTAATCGAGCGACAAAGCTTCTCCAGACCTCCCCTTACCAGCTCCCAAAAGCAAGCTTATTACCGAAGCCTCTGTGGCTTGTAAAGGAAACAAGGGTGCGCTAGCGGGAATGGCAGTTGAATTAATCAAATTGGCTATCAGGAGATGACAGATGAAACGTACCGTCCTCAAGAAAACACCAGAGAAGACACGTCACTTGCTACAGCCCCAGGCCAGCGAGCGTTCAGCTGGGACAGGACCAGGGACCTTCCCCGTCTTTGGGTGAAGGAAAAATGGCTGGGGCTCCTCGGAGCTGAACACTCCCATCCATTCCAAGTGCAACGATTACTGGGAGGGATCTTACTCTTCGCTGGTGTGTTGCATGTAAATTTTAAATCATTTAGGAAACATGCTGTCTGTGCTGCAGAAGCTGTGCTTTAGGGATGAATTATTTTACTACTTTCAGTCCTAAAACACGACGAATTGCACACACTGTCACTGCTCATGACACGTTTTCTAACCACTTAATACACGCAGATTTTGCTAACATTTTTCATTACAATTTTAGTAAAGGGAAACATCTGTTTCCCCCTGCCTTAGAAAGTATATTGCATCTTCCCAGCTGCCACATGCCTTTGAAATTCCATGTTTAATCAACGCCATAATCTCTTCCAGAAAAAGGCCAGCACTCAGATAAGCAGCCTTGCAACAACAACCACCCCCCCATCACATCAGCACGCACGTTTCAATGTTTCCAGTTTTTCTAAAGAAAAAAGCAGCGTTGAAAAATCCACACCAAAACCAAGGATTTTGTTGACCAAATAATGAAATAAATAGCACAAATTCTGGAATACAAAATTTATTTCAATCTTATAAAAGTCTTCAACATTGCAAATTCTGTCACAAAACACTAACTGTACACAGATATTTTCATTAAGGTTTAGAATAACGATTATTACTGTCAGATCTCCCCAGACATATCATTTCAGCTCAGAAGCATCAAGCGATCACACACAGCTTCTTACCATCTTCTTCAAAATACATTAGTCTCACACGTACCTTGCAGACTGATGGCTTTTAAATAGTCAAATGTATTAGTGCAACCTCACTACTTAGTACAGGATGAAAGGTTCAGAAATTGAACCACCTATTAAACCATCAGTTCTCTTCCGAGCCCGACAGATTGTTCTCTCCTCGCGTTACCAACGGCTGGGCTGGGCTACTATTGCCTGCAAGTGTCATGAAAAGCTTCAAGTGTTCGGAAATCCCTCCATGTGGGTGGCAGGCCATCCTGCAGAAACTTTCCGCAGCGCTGGCATGGAGCCTGGAACAGCTTTATGTAACTTCTTAACCAGGTCTAAAAGGAAAAGGGAAAGAAATTAAGAAAACTGGATACGGATGTTGCCGTTTGTCATCACTCTTGTCAGCGATAGCAAGGACAGAGGATGTACTTTGGCGAGGCCCCAGTGAGGTATACAGTGATTTTATAAACAGAAACATGCCGAAGATTACAAGGTCACTGTATAGCTCAATTCCCACTTTATTAATCATCTTTTGCTTTTTTAGTCACTTAAGCAAATTTGTTAATAGAAATTCACGCACCCTGAGCAGGAGGTATTCGCAGCTAGAGAACCATGATGGAAGGCAAGTATTGTAACGCTCCTCGTATTTTTACTGGAATATAATTGTTCTTGATGGGTACCTCCTTCAACCGAATATTGGTTTGTCTCTTCCTATGATCATCTATCATACCCCTACTGCAATCATACTGCAACGGTCTGAACTCTTCATAGCTGAAGATATAAGGACTTTCACAGCAAGCAAACTAACTTCCTCTCTAATGCGATTTTAAGATCAATACTCATTGGTCATAAAAATACTGTACCATTTTAAATCTGATTACACTGAGAAATATATATACAAAAAAGGCTAGTACTGAACAACACAGAGTAAGTTCAGGTGTTCCTAGGTAAAGTTCCTGCCTCTAAAGTGGATTGTTCCCATCGTCATACATAGCAATGAGCATTATGTAACTCAATTCCCAACTCAAGGAGATATACAACTAAAAAACACCTAGACCAGCAGATTTATACTCTGAAGGATGCACATGAATCTTGTCATTTAAAGTCCTATTGAATTACATCGATAAGAGAAAATTGTTCTCTGAAGAAGAGGTCAGCCGAGTTTATTGAAACAAATCCTTCCATCTTCATCAGAGCCTTCTCTATAGCAACCGAACCTTTGGCCGTCAATAACTCTCCTCCAAAAGAACTAGATCTTCTCTGGGTTTAGCAGTAAATACGGGGACAAGGGCAACAGAATACTACAAGTAAATTGCTGTTATTTACTTCAGCTTGGATGAGCTTTGCTTGCACTACAGAGAAATCGAATTTTCTGAACCATAATACAAAAATAGGTAAATGAAGTTAAATTGTGCACTTGAGACATCTGTTGAAAGAAAAAAAAAAAAGGCATTCTTCATTCCCATCAGAAAATTAGGGCTTCACTACATCCTGCCATGTGGATTGCACAACTGACATGTGAAGGGACCAACATATTGACACTTCTGGTGTACATCTGGTTTTGCTTTGTTAAAAGTTTTAGTAGTGTTTTATCAAATCAATAAGGCAGGTCCATGGCTTAAACAAACGTGCTACCCATTCTATTAAACATTAATTTTCAGAAACATGTTGAAACATGGATTTGACCAGCAAGAGTTGCTTTCACCTTTCAAAACTTATTATTTTAAGATGCACTCCAAGAGAAGAGACCTTTGCAAATCTCTCACCTTAGTGGCCTTTTTATTAAACAAACCAACCAGCACAGCAGGTAAGGGAGTCTGACTGATCTGAAATTACAGACGTAAAAGACCCAATGCTACTGTACACACCTAAAGATGGTGAATGGCAAAATTAGATGTTTCTTTTTAAAAGTCTCAGTTACATTGCTCCAGGTGAAGGGGTAACGTAATGGAAGTTAAGAGAAGGAAGAAGTCTGAAGAGCAGAGAAAACTCTCCCAAAAGCCTCCTTTGGGAGACTGCAGCAGAGAGAACAGCAAGAATCTCCACTGCCAAAATTCATCTTGGTAGCAGGAATTCTGGATCATAAACCCTTGTTCTCACCCTCTGATTAACAGGGCTGCTTATTTACAAGTTTATTTCACAAATAAAATTCTAAATACAAGCAGAACTAAAGGTAATAAACTTAAATCTGCACATCAAGGTAGAGCAGTATTTGATTGATTTTATTCAGTAAGAAAACAGCAGAATACTTCAGTAAGCATTTCCGTGATTCCCAAAACCACCTGCTGTTGTGCTGGGTGAGTACATGCAATTCCTTAGGAACAAAGTTGGGGCTGAAAGTGGGCACAGCAAAACGGACTCTTCCCGATCACGTTCTCCAAATAACTCTCATCACTTCCCATACTGGGCAAGCTGACAAGCAAGCTGCCTCAGCTGGAACACACTACCTGGGAGTCTCCTCTTACTGGGGAACTTCCAGCGGAGCAGGCTTTCTACATACAGAACTCAACTCCTTGCACAGTACGAACAGTGTGAAAGGGCTGGACTATAGTAAAGATTTTGGTTGAGAGAGTTTTTCCTACTGTCTTTAGAGGTGACCCAGAGTAGCTTTGCAAATAGGAATCATCAAGCAAATATTGAGACCTGTGACAGAAGAACCATATACAGCTCAGTCTTCCAACACCAGTTATCCCAGGGTAATGAGAATGAGCTCTTCATCCTTGTCCAGGTATCAGATACAAAGAATTAGTCAGTCATTCTCTACTGCCTAGCTTGTTTACATAGGGCAAATCACAACTGCATCAGAACTGCCTAATGTCAATCACTGTAAGCATGCTGAAGTCTATCTGGAAAAATGTATTTTCCAATACACTTACCATGAAAGATCTGACTACCACATCTGGCATTTGAGGCAGCTGGTAGTGCAACAGAGCAGTGGTTGCATGATCTGTCACCTGTATCACACAAAACGAGAATATACGCTTATTCATTCTGTATTTCAGACCAAGCAGTGTTAATTTGCAGGAAAACTATAAATTCCATGGGGAAGTAGCAAACCAAGAATTACATGACTGTGAAGACATCCTCAAAGTAATTTTGGGTAGTTTTTGACAGCTAGCTTCCATTCCCTCTGCCAACTTCATACAAGAATCAGCTGAAGCTGATAAATAACTTTGTACCCGTGCAGTAAAATCAAATAGACCTTTGGAAGTTCATAAACGTGATAAAAGCTAATAGTGTTGGTAAAAGAATCTAGACTGGTAGCCAATGTGAGCCAAGTGATGAGGAAGGTGTCCAGCTCTACGCCATATGGAACAATACTAAACTAACACGCTTCGCTTCCCACTTTGGGCTACCAACCCTGCTGTAAAAAGGATTAAAAAATAATCTTCTATAAAAGCAATAGCAAATAACTTTCAAATGTCTACAGCATAAGAGCAGAATCTGTGCTTCTGTGATTGAAATCCCACGTATTCTGTGAAATCATAACCAAGCAAAGTCACTAAACAAATCACGTCAGAAGAAAGCACTTTGGTTTTCTCTTTAAATGTTCCCATTTTTTTTTTGGTCTTTTTTTTTTTTTTTTTTTTAGAGAATATATTCCCTTAATCTATAATGATTTGCTCAACAAAAGAAAAAACGTTGTCAATAATGTAGCTAAATTAAATAGTCCTGGAAGACTAACTTATAAGAACAGAGGTTAAAACTTAAAAAAAAAACCCAAAACCCCAAAGCTTTGGTTTTGATCTGTTTTAGTGAAAAAAAACCCCAAACCCAAAACCAAGACACCACTCCCCCGCCCCCCCCCCAATAAAATAAAATAACCTGAACTGAAACTACATTTTTACAGAAAAATGAGTACACTCCATTTTTTAATGGGAAAACTTAAAATATTTAACTCCTGTAGTCCTGTTTCAGGTTGCTTACATTGAACAAACAGGAACTGAGCTCTCAGTTTCATTTCCTCTGAAACCAGGAATCAATTAATATGATTATGGTTTATAAATACTTGCATTAGTAAAAGATTTCTGATAGAAAGCTTTTTAATTTCCCAGACAGAGCCATAACAATATCTTACATCTGGGAATTACAGCTAGACAGAATACATAGAAAATGTATATTTATAATAACAAGAATAAGTAAAGAAAAAAAAAATCAGGAAAACCAACCAATGCTTTGATAGAATTTTTTTTTTGTTTTTTAAATCACTACCATTTTGAAATGATTCTGGAAGGGGGCAGTTTCTGACAGCTATGATACAATTCACTAACAGTATTCAGCCCGTCAGCTTCCTAAGTTATTACACAGTCAACAGCTTGCTTCTTCTCCGAAGTTCTAGGCTTAACGCAGAAATTCTTGGCAAAATCCTTTGGGCTGGACTATTAAAGAACTCAACACAACCGCGAGAGCTCTTTCACATCTTGTAACTTATAAATCTATTAATGGTCCTCATCAGTAATATCAAAGCATCCAATAAACTATGCGATTGTCTAGTTAGTGATTAAATTGTATGTTCTAGTTTTAACGTGGAGAAGTAGTGCTCTTCTCAGGGCTTGTCTATATATTTCCCAGGGCTTGTCTATATACTATAGTAAATTTTGAGTAAGATAAAGTGTGAACTGAAATTACAATTGCTATTCCTGGCTAACTCCACTTGTTCCTAATTTGTATTTAGTCTAATTCAGCAATGCGAAGTGTGCTGAAGCACTCAAACTTTCACTGGAGAAAGAGAGGCTCATGCTTGAAGCTATTCAGGGAGGTGAATCTGTAAAATATATATTCCTGAAAAAATCCATGTATAGACAGGCTCTAATTCACACCATACAAACTTCCTCCGCAGAACACTACATCAAATCAGTCTGTCCTACACTGAATCCACTTTTAAGTTATACTACAATTTTAGAAACAGATTCTGCTCCCCATCATTCGTGCACAACTAACTCCAAAAGCAGCTCCGTTCAGCGTGAATAAGGACATGCGATTCTGACGTTTGGAAGGGAAAACTTTTGGGACCGTGCACATTCTGGTGAGTTTGCACAAATATTCACACAACGGACCTCAGCCTGCTTAAGCCATTTATATGTTACCATAGGAAAAAGAATTAAAAATAACGTGATTAACAGTGCATTAATAGCACAGCATAACTCAAATCAGTAATTTCTTTTAAACACATCTCATGTAGCTTTCAGAAATGACTGTAATCCAAGCCCTACTAGCTATGTGATTTTTTTTCTTTTAAGATGGTGCTTTTATAGGATAGTACCAGACATGTCAAAGGATAGAAAGTTCTGAAGTTATTTATGAGCAGCCGCTCTCCTTCTGCTGTATTTCTACTTCTAACAAACTGTATTTTTTTTCCTGAACAACAAAGTTGTTTTCTCTTGGCACTGAAGAAAGTTGCTTAAAAAAATACTGCTATTAACAAATTTAAATTGACTGGCCACTTTGGCAAAGTTGCACATATGCTGTTCCTATTGTAATGTAAAGCTAATGAGATTCCACAGGGAGATAAAAGCCATCCCAGCATTGCTAGAACACTAATAATGTTTTCTGAACAAAAAGGAGGCGATTTCTACCATAAGCAAGTGCTGATAAAGCGCTTCTAAAAAAGATCAAAGTGGGTGTCAAATCTGAGGAAGAGGAGTAGGGGATGACCCCCCCCAGCCCAGCAAAGAACATGATGTCAAACAGAAAAGAGCTGGGCAAATGATAAACTGGCCAGTGCATGGGAGTGAAGGAAGAATTAACCCCCGCCAAGATAACAGAGATGATGAGAGAAAGCACAGACTGGCCAAGATTAAAAAAGAGAAAAAAAAAAGGGGGTGGTGGGGTGGTGGAAGATCAATACCCAGCTTTACTAATGGCAATACGATTTCACACCAAAGCAAAGCAAAACAAACTGCATACGCACCAGCTCACTTAAGGGACACACTTTTTCTGCCAGCCAAGTTGGAATCACAAACTAATTTATTCTGGGTGTGGGATGGCATTTTGTACATTTCAGGGTTTTATTTTATTAACTTCACTTTTATTGCTCTGCCTCACCTACTGCTATCTAAGTTATTGGTCGCTTTCTAATTTCTCTACCTCTTTTTATATGGGAACATATTCAGAAGAGCACACATTGATTGGGATAGCTGTTGCTCTGGACCTTGAAATAGATCTTCAAGAGATCTTGCAGAAAAGCTCAGTATTTCACAATTCATATATTGAAAAGCACTTGGAATTTTTATCCAAAAAAAAGGCAAGACAAGGCAATCTCCTGAAGCACAATTTTGCTAAATAAAATAGCTGTTGTTTAACTAAGCACTTTGAGACAGAGCAAAAGAGACTTCAGTTACATGAAAAAAAAAAAAATCCAGCAAAGAGACTCAATTTGAACAGGAAAACTTCCCTTCTTGCTAACCGTTAATTATATCGCCTGAGATTTATTTTTTTTTTCCTCCTTTTCGCTTCCAAATTCAAGTTGACTATAACCATGTACTTCTTAAATACATCTCTGCTCCCTTGTCTAGGGCACTGTATAGCTCAGGCATACAAAACAGACTGATACTGGATCAAACCTAATCTTCATTGTGACTATGTGCAAATTAAATCCTACGTACTTGTCGCTCTCGGCGAACAATCAGGCCCCAGCAAGCGAGCAGGGCTGGCTGGGTACCGGCCCGCTGTGAGGAACTACCTGCCGAGCTCACGCCGCTGCTCTGCTCTGCGGCAGAGTGGGGAGACATGGACTCCTGGCTTCCCTCTCGCAGCCGACTGCTCAGCTTGCCTGCTCGGTAAAGTTATAAATAGCTCATGAGACCAACACCCAGCGATGAGCAGAAAACAAAATCCCTGTTATTTGTCTCAACCGAGCCACCACCAGTCATTTCTACAGCATTTCTTTACCCACTTGATAGTACTGCTCTGCTGAAACGTGCTTTCCAAAGGTGACACATCCAAAACATGGCATTATTGGGCCTTGACGACACTTGTTAGTCATATAGAATTCCCAAAGCTGAAAATTCATTTAAAAAAAAAAAAAAAAAGCCATTCTACAGTTCACAGGTTGAGAAAGCCAAACAAGTGCTTCCTCTAACTGGAATAAGAAGCACAAAAGCAAAGACCTATGGTATAGCTTTGCTCCACCATAGACCCGGAATGTTCCGTAGATGTATGAAGCTATACCTGGCATAAAAACTAAAACATAAAAATACAAACATCACATGACTAAATTATAGAAGCTGTCTCCCTCCTCTAGCATTTTATCGCACTGCCAGTAAATACGCTTTTCAAAAGTAGGTGCAAAACTTTCTTTAAGAGTTATAACTTTCCTTGCCACTTACTTACTGGTTTATTCCCTCAAGTATGGCACTGACAATTCTATCTAATATAAAAGGATTCTCTAAATCCCCTGGAAGTTTTTTAATTTTTTTTTTAAACCCTGCTAAGTTCATGGCCTTAACAGTAGCCTGTAACAATGAGTTCTGGAGGATGATCACAGCACTAAAAGAAAAAAAAAGGAAGTTATTTTATTAGTGTTTAGACCTTTTATAGTGTGGAAAACTGCAGAGTGCCTTTGTTCATTTCCAAGGATTCCCATTACTCAGTCTTCTCTCCAGGACCACGTTTGAGTCTCTCTGGAGGGAATCTGGTGCACAGAACCCAGTGCCCAAGAGGTGCTTGGAGGGATGATAGATGGTGCCTGTACGAACAGGCACCGATGAACTCCACACAAATCCTTTACACACCCTTCCCCACTCCTAATTCAGTAATTTGTCCTTGCGACAGGACAAGGGGGAATGGGTTTAAACTAAAGGGGGGTAGATTCAGACTAGATCTAAGGAAGAAATTTTTTACGCTGAGAGTGGTGAAGCACTGGCACAGGTTGCCCAGGGAGGTGGTGGATGCCCCATCCCTGGAAACATTCCAGGTCAGGTTGGACGGGGCTCTGAGCAACCTGATCTAGTTGAAGATGTCCCTGCCCACGGCAGGGGGGTTGGACTAGATGGCCTTTAGAGGTCCCTTCCAACCCAAACTATCCTATGATTCTAAAGCACTACCAGAATTTTCTGAAGCATAGGATTTATCACTTGTTTCCAGAGCTCACAGAGTGTTCAAGTTTTTATTTCGCTTGTTCTGCTTATTTGGACTGGGTCATAGAGATTTTATTTCGCCTAAGCAGGTCTTTGAACAGAGCCAAGTACTGATCATGCACAGGAGCAATCATGCAGGTGACCCGGGAACAGTCCATCTCCTCTCCTTGAACAGACATCATCAATAGCCCAATATTTGTCTCATGCATGCATTCATCCTGCATGTGATTTTATTCTGAGATTATTGACAAGAATACATCTTCATACATTACAATACTTATGTGCCCTTGTAGTGGTGAAAATTGTGCTCCCGAGTTCCATCACTTCGGGATCACACAGCTCACAAACAGCTGGATAGGCACAAACAGCTTCTCGACGTTCAGGTTAAAACGTGCCTTGGGAAGCATCATATCTAAACAAAAACAGTTTGTGGCATGCTAAAATTGATAGACCACTTAGCTGAACATAAGAGTGGGACTCCGAGATCAGAATGAAATATATGGGTTTAATGCTATGCATATGACTTAAACAGCCAAACATCCTATTACACAGCAAAAGCAGCTATGCCGCTCTTCACTGAGCAGCTTGATAAATGAAACAGTTAATGTTTGACACCATCTCCCATTTTGATCCACTCATAGCAGTTCCACTATTCTATATTTTTGCCTCTTTTTTGAATGCAAAGTTATGAATAATGCCCATTCTCCACAATACATATTTTTTTAACCCTCTGTACAATGACCCGGAATTACGCAGCCCTCATGTACACTCTTCTTCCCACCAAGATTTAAGCCCCAAAAATATTTCCTTATTTCCCGTGTTGTTCCTCCTCTTGCACTAGTGGATCAAGAGATGCAAGGTGTGAAAATAAGGAGGTTTAAGATCAAAACAGTTGCCGCTCCTGTGGAGTTTAAATGTCAGACCAACATGGAAGTCTGAAAAACCTTTTCTTTGCTCCTTGTGCTTTTGCCCTTTCAGCCTTCCCTCTCTTATTTCCCAGCTCCATTCTCTGAGTCTAACCCTGCTGGTGGATTCAATGCCTATAAAGCTTATTCACCCCAGGACCAGATTCAAGGAGTCTCCAGGGAACTTAGAAAATGACTGTACACTTTAACAGTAATGGGCCCTCTGGGAGCCGTCCCCCATCAAATTATACACACTCGGGTATCCTGCCTAATAAGGAGGAGAGAGAAAAGGCTTGCTGACACAGCCAACGTTTGCAAACAAAAAGTCAGGACAAATTTAGCTTCGTTTGACAGGGTTGGATTGAAGATCAGAGGTCTCTGGTTCTTAACCTAGAAAGTCATGCTGCAACCCTGTGAGAATTTGACAGGCCTGCAGCTACCGCTGGCAGGTATCCTGCGAGCTCCAGATGTTGTTATATCATCACTGAAGACACTGTTGGAGAACTTGGTCCAGCTTTTAAAGAGAAACGGCCCTGCCCTTCAGAGGGATGATTGCTTTTACGGTATTAAAGGCAGTAGAGCTGCAAGGGCTACCCAGCCTCCTCGGTGGGAGCAGTTACTCATCCGTGTTTTTCCTTCTCAGCACAGCACTTCCACATCGCGTTACTGGTGACTGCCATGAGAAACACATTTCAGGAACATTCAGATGTGCTCTGACACATTTACTGATGATTTTTTTAATGGCATAAAACCATTTGTTCTGAAGATCCTGCAGATCCTACACTAGTAACAGAGTATAATAGTTTCTCTAACACTATTTTATCTATTTCCTTTATTTTGCTACTGCTACATTACTATTCCTGGGTATTATAAATGGATACAAGTGCAGCTTCAGAGAATAAAGAGAAAACCAAACCAAGCACAGCACCACAGAGAGAAAACTTACTATGCTGAACCACAGCATTTTCTATCATGTTTGAAAACTTGACTTAGGTCCTAGCCTCAACTTCTTTAACTATCTGCTCAATAGTACAGAATCTATTGATTAGAAAGTACCATCACCTTGCATTTTTATCACATTTTTCATGCAAGAATCTGAGAGCACCATGCAACCAATTCCGCAATAGCTCCTGTGTAGGTAGCTCCCATGAAGTCAGCAAGTATTACCCCAGCCTAAGGGATGCGGAAAACTGATCCAAAGAGAGGTTAATTTGCCCAAGGTAACACAGTGACAACTGGGAACAAAATGTATAAAACTACTATAAAAAATGCAGACAGCTGTTCAACTGGTTACAGGCGACCCTTTCGCCTGCAGTCTTTTCTTTCTGGGGTTTTTTTTTGGTAAACATTACTGCATTTGGTATTATTTACAGAGAGGGAACTGGAGAACAGGAACTTAATATTCAGGTCGCGTCACATTATTTAAGAGAATTAGGAAGAGAATAAAGATTCTTATTTATCCATAACGCAGCCACAGAGGCAGCAGTTAAGAGGGGCATTTCACGTTTTCTCACTGACTTCTTCCACTTTTGGTCTGAAGGCCATCACCTGGACCTGAAGAGAAATTTACTCTACGTATTTATGCTCCCCGAGTCCTTAACCTGGACTTTTAAGCAAACCATACATTTACTCTACTCTGTTATTTTGCATATAGGCAATTAAAATTATACAATCAAAACCTCACAATTTATTATCATTTAGCACAAATTATGGCAATATGACTTAACCCTTCCAAGTTATTCTAAACCAAAACATCCAGGCAGACGATCTTATGCCCAAAGGAGCTTACAACCAGACAGACACATGGGGAAATTGAGATGATGCACTTAATTACAGAACCTTAAATTTATTCCACTGCAAAAATTACTTTAAAGCATACTGATAAACTAGTTACTAAGATATACACTGTTTTACTTCCCGCTGTATTACCCTACTCGACACTAAATATTTTTGAGGAGCAAGAAAAAAAAAGAATATTTAATCCACTAATCTCTGGGGTAAAGAATCAACTGCAGCAAAATTTTGCTTTAATGCTAGGCAGAGAGGGAGAGCAACCAACCTCCCCAAAAGCTGTCCTTTGATCTCTAGCAGGTTAATATCACAGGTCAAACCTCTTCCCTTCTGACTGCATCTGAAATCTTGGAAGGAAGATGCACAAATACAGCCAATATGCCATACTTTTGACCCCTGCTTTTATGCCCTTTCGAGTCCCCGACCCCCATTTGTTACACAAACTACAGAAGTAGATGAAAGGAAGCTAGTGCACTAGCTGGAGACTCAAGCTCCTTGAACTGTGGCCTGAAGGTAAGGAAACCGGAATTTAAACCCGGATCAATCTGAACTTACAGCATTTTGACAAGAGGCCTTCAAAGAGAAATCTTCTCTTCCTTGCCTGGAAAATGGCGAGACATAGATCTTTCCAAAATACACTTTAACCTTCTTAATAGTTTTATACCTATTGCTCCCATTCTCTCATCGGTCTTTTCTTACTTTCTGGAATGGCATTCATTTCAGTAAGTTACTCCTTTTCCTTACACCATCATGGGAAAAGGAGCAGGCAAAATAATGTCATGGAAAAAATTTCCAAATGCATTTTGGAAAGTGAGTTCTACTGATTTATTAAACTCAAGCCCTCAGGAGAGGGGGGCAACCAAAAGCAATGAAAACAACAAAACAAAATCCAAACGAACCTGAAAGTCCTTCCTCCCCCAAAAGATTTAAACTAAAAAAAGAGTGCTTGAAGACTCCTCATGAAATTTTAAGGCTAGAGTAGTATAATCTCCAATTTCCTATTCCAAACCATGGACTGGAACTGTGATGGGAAATAAATCCAAATTAAGTAACAGCAGAAGTGATCTCCTTTTCTATTCACGGTTTTCCATTATTACAGATTATTGTTTGTTATCTGCAAGTTGTGATGACAAAGGAATAAATTCTGAATTCTTTTACATAAGGGCCTAGATATTTAAAATAAACTCCGCATATCTCCTATACGCATTATGTAGAGAAAAATGATGTGAGACTTACCTTCTGAAAAACTTGATAGTTGGATTTAGACCATATGTCAAGCTACAGTAGGAAAAAAAAAAAGAATTATGTATTACCACATGTGATTACGGAGAAAAAGAAACTAAGCAGCTCTTCAAATTAAAAGAGCAGGCAAACAGATCTAGGGAGATGTATTTCTCAGTTCAGTATTTTGACCCAGTGCCTTTACCTGTTGCAATCCAAGAAAGGGAATTAATGATGTAAGATTTCCTTTGTATTGCAATGAAGAATGAACACAGTTCATCACAGTTTCAATTAAAAAAATTATATATACAAGACCTGTTGAATTAATGCGTTCTCTTTAAAAACAGCAAAATCTTCTTTTGTATGGGGTTGTGGCTGATCTATGCAAATATTCATCAGCTTCAGTCTGTTTCTAAAATGAGGGCATTTTTACTAAGTTTATGCTTGTCTTGTGTCTGAATAAGTGATTCAGTTACAAATGACACAAAGAACGTTTAGCTGAATTAAGCCAAAGCACCGGTCTACTGAGGCTAAATAAAACATCCCTTAGGAAACCGCATTTAAATTTGCAGACAAAAATCACACTAAAAGAGATTTAAGGTTATAGATAACTGCACACATCCATGACTTAAATGCGTGCTCAACTATACGCAAACTAAAAGAACAAAATTGAAATAAGTTTTATTAGCCCCGGAAACCAGAAGGTAAGGCTGTCCTTCTTAGACAACCAAATGGCTCACATGTTAAACAATTTCAGCTGACATGCTAATGCTCTTTTAGCCCAGCCCTGCGGAAGATCTTGTATTCTGTCAAGGAAAAGCAGCAGGGAAAAAACAAGAGGAGCTTCCATCAGTCCCAAAATTGCAAATCACTTTTTTCCCCTGCAGATCCCACTGTACTCAACAATTCCATATGCACAAAATTTGTCACAGGAAAGGTGTTTGATACAGCATTAACCTCAGGAATCTTAGTCTAGACCAAAGAAAATAATTTTTTTTGAGTGAATTTATGAAGCGGGGGTAGCTCCTCTAGTGCTTGATAACATGGTTGGACACACGTTCCCATTCTTTTCAGAGTAACACTGTTAAAGACACAGGTGTTACCACTTCTAAATACTGGTAACTTTTGAGTCCCCAAACCTCAGGCCGGACAGGAGACGATGTTAAAGACTTTAAAAATCACTTCAGGATAGATGTTTCATGGCTTAGTACTGCTGACCTTGCTGCGAGACAAAAGGCAGCTGAAGTCTCAACGCCTTTTCCAGGTTAGATGAAGACAGAAGTACCCTGAGGCATGTACCTACAACCCTTTCTACATTTACTCGCTCTTAGGGTGGGATCAAGAACCTGTGCGTGCACCAGCAACACTCATACTCTAGAGTCCACAAGCGGCAGTCCAGCCTGGACTTGGACCTGAGCTTGATTTACAATGTAATAGCAGCCCCGTGCCTGTTGGGAAGGAAGCACCGCATTTCCATATAGAAAAGTCTACATTTGAAAAAAAAAAAAAAAAAAGTGTATTTTTTTAAAAACTGTTTTCCTGTAATTTAAGGCTTTCTTTGACTGCAGACAGAGTTGCTATAGTTGGAATGTATATATGCTTTTGCTAATCTCTAGTGATCAAACCAAGTATGGGATCCTCTCCAGTTAAGACTCAAGATCTAAAAAAAAATAAAAAATAAAAAAAATTTCCACTTCAGATGCTGCATTAAGATGAGTCCAACAGGTTCTGAACGTTCATTAGTTGGCATGACGAAAAGCTGAAAAAGTAATGAATGTCTGTTTTACAGACATGATGTTATCCAAGTTAAAAAAGGAAAAAAGAAAGAAAAAAAAAGAAAAAAGAAAAACAAAGAAAAAGAAAAAGCAACCAAACGCCCCAAACCACATGCATACATCCTAAATGACTGCCCACCTTTCCCTCTGAAACAGAGGATTAAGGCAGAGGCGGATTAAAGAATGCATCGTTACAGGTCTATTATTCTTCAACTTTTCACTTTCAATCAAGACACACATTTGTAACTAAAAAACTGCTGAAAGCACAATTTCAGGGCATCCTCTGCATGTGAATTAAACTGGGGCTTTTTTTCCCAACGCCCCACTCTCCCCACCCACCCCCAGCATAAGTAACAAGAGGCCATTTTCTGAAGGTCGTCTGAACGATTTCAAAGGCGATAACAAATCAGAACATTCCCTGCATCTAATATCAAACAGGTCCGGTGCCAACACTTATTAGAGAAATCGGATTCAACCCCCCTTTCACCCAAACACACACACATCCAGCTTTGAAGTGGAAAGAATGCAGGGATCAGAAATTACCCGAGAGACAGCTCTGCCTGTCTTTGAAGCTTTCCTTTGATACTACTATTTCTTTTCCTCTCTTACGCTAGGAGGCTAAAAGCTGCCTTTTCTTATTGATATGGGGTAATTAATGAAGCCATAGCATTAACATAACCTAAGTTCCTTAACATGGTAATTCAACACAGACACTTATGTTTCTTTAGTTAAGTCCAACGGATGCAAAAATAGGAATTTGGCTAGGCAGCATTGTTAAGTACCCACTCTAAATACGCCCTGTCAAGGTGGTTCTTGGTCTCTGCATCCAAAGAAAAGTAGGGTATTACTATGCCAAAAAATCCCAATACGTTTTTATTTTTATTGGCAGACTAGGGCTACTAATGGCTCAGCTGACAATAAGCCTGCCCTGCGAGGGTGAGCTGCATAGGTTCATTTATTCAGGAATCAGGACAACACTAGTAATTAATTGCTATCCATGGTTAAATTCCAGTGCACAATGAGTATGCCAGAGTTTGAAATTAAGGGTGGCACGGTGCCATCACTAAAACCAGGGGGCTAATTAAAACGCATCAGTATGTGGTGGATGCAATGGGTTAGTATGGTAAGCAAGAGAGACTGCAGAGCGATCAGCATCCAGAACCCACGACATGAGAGAGGCTGCCAGATCTCACCTATTGTTTTTGCAAAGTGTCACCAAAAATGTCTAAGTTATGCAGCTGGCAACCTGGCAAAGACATATTCTGCAGGGTTTGTGAATAATGCACGAGAGAAGTACATGAAGCACTTAAGAAATGCAATGATTCTTCATCTGTATAAGCAAAGCTTGAAAATAAAGCCCCAGAATGTAGTGTCTTATTTTACTCACTGCAAGCTTAAGACTTCTATTTTTTCACCTGAATTTTGAAAGTATTTAAATCTCTAAGACGAAGTACCCAATTTAACTAGACTTCAGAACAGCAGAAACCATGTGAAGCTTTCACGTAAGTACCCGTCAACCTACATAGTACAACGTACAAGCACACAGCAAGCTAAAGCAACCTGGATAATGCAATGTCAGCTTTCCTGTGTAACTGCTGGTATGCCACCACGCACAGTTCTACAACTATGAGAAACACCCATATTTGTTTTATTTCTAGATTTGCCTGACTAATGGACCAGAAGACTATCAACGCCTCTGCTGTTTGCACTCACCTCTTCCCTTTTTCTTCCCAGTAATGCAAGATTTGCTAAAACAGTTGTACTTTGAGATAAATGATGACTCCCCTGATCCACAAGCAAACCGTTGGCCTCTTCTGCGCACAGCCCATTTTTCACTTACTGTCTGTGTGATCATTCAGTCCCCCAATGATGGCCATTTCTTCTTTTGCTGAATACATTTTGTTGTCCCAAACCCTGCTCTACTTGGAGAAAGCCCCCCACTGAATTTCACTTCTGTTACTTAAATGACCTTCTGACTTGCGCAGTTAGGAGGGTGACTCAACAGACCTTCATTCAGCTATTTAAGTGTAAAGAAGCACAATGACTTACCCAGTGTCCCTTCTTCAACATGGCTTACAGAAAAGACAGGAGCTTCAAAATTGCCATATTGTAAGATACCACCTAGTTAATCTTATCGCTGCTGTTTACAAATATTAAATGCTTCCCAGGAATACATAAGCAAACCTCCAAACCAGCAACTACTGTGTAAACTGCTCACTGGAAAAACGATCACCTCCTACTGTGATCCTGAGGGTTCTCTGTATTTTTGTTATTTAATAAAGAAGATACTCACTGATCTTCTCCTTTTTCATACTCTTCTGTGTCTCTTCTGAAAGCTAGTGCATTTTTCCCCCTATCAGGCTAGAAACTGAGAAGCTAGAATAGTATGGTGAAACCTCACTGGAGTACTTTCCCAACAGCATCTGTTGTGACAGAGAAGGAATTGGAATGGACTATGTTTGCAATTGACTGTAATTGCTTATTCCCAGCAGACACAATAAGTAAAGCGAATCATTGCAAGAGCACAATCTTATTCTTATTCTCCAATTACCAGCGTAGTTAATTAGTGAAAAAGAGGGAGCTCACTGTTTGTCAATATGTGCTCCAGTTGGCAAAACTAGCAAGCTTCGCGTTTATTCAATCTTCCAAGCCAAATTTACTCATGATTTAAGTGGCTGCAACACCAATTCTATTTAAGTCAAATGAAATGTTCCTATTTATACCTAAAACGCAGACCTTGAGGTTTGCGAAAGCCCTGGGATGGCCCAATGGAATAGCAAACTGCCACGTAAAGGTCACAGGTTCATGCAGCCTTGTGGGAGCAGTCACATAGCTTAGCTTTGGACACAGAAAGCTAAATTGGTAGAAAACACGATTCCCCTGCAGACTGGCTTAAAGCAAGAAAATAAGCCAGGTGTTAGCACCGATGCTCTGGAGAAGGTGAACTGCTCCCCACTGACAGCAGACAAAGGTTAGTGCCCCGTGCCAAAACCAGCCTTGGTGAGTCCCGCTCTCCCCCGCGCAGGAAACGATGACAGAGAAACTGTGTATGGCTCTCAAGAGAGTTAACCTTGAGCTAAACAGAAGCCCAACGCCAGATGCCGTTTCAGAAAGGAACTCTTTTACTTAGCTCTTCAGCATATATAGCGTTATTATATTTCAAGGGAGCTTCAAAGGAAACTGGATTCATCGGAGAAAATGAGCACACCCAAATGAAGTGTGACACAGGAATCCATCAAGCACTGTCAGCGCTCTTTAGGCAGACTATCATTTCACTTCCGAGCAGAACTTGGGGTGAAGAGGGGCTGGTGCTGTAAGTCTGTATTTATATGCTAATATACAGGGAGTATAGTGCAGCTGCTTCTGCGGCAAAGTGGTATTTAAACCTGCATATTTGAACAACGCAAATCAAAATCAGGCAATTTTTATTTTACTACTTCTTAGGCCAATCCCCCACCCTTTGACTGAGAATCTCTCACCTGGGAAATACAACTGTACTATTTCCTTCAGGAGATCAGCTCCTGGCCTTTTCTAGAGAACAGAGGTTCAGACTGAGAGCTGCTGAACTCTGGGTCAGTACACAACGTGCTTCTGTGTGCTAAAACACAGTTATCACTTTTGAAAGGGAAAAAAGTCTCACCTCATTATAACATGGCCTATGGCTGCCAAGTACTCATCTTGATATAATGAACTTTTTATTTTAATAGGCTTCATAATCAGAAGAGAAAGCTCCAGAGAGAAAATGTGAAACATGGAGGTATTTAGTACTGTTACTGGCAAAGGAGAGTCCTGGCGGATGTCTCGGTAAGAGAGACCATTCCACCCTGAAAAGAGAAACAAGCTGAGCTGAAGGCCGTCAGGTCCCATTAACATCTCCTGATGCGCTAAAGAGAGCCATATGGAGTGTGTGCAGTCAGATGGAATTTGACGGTTCAAGTGGGGTGAATTGTTCGTAAAACAAATCACTTGTGGAAACAGGTAACACTTCCTTTAATAGCTGCTGTTCAAGATGTGCTATTACTGACAAGCAAATTATTGGGGACTACCTACCGATGACTCTCTCAGTTGCATTTATCAAGTTAAGCACAAAACTAGCCCAAGATTTCCCAATGGCTCTCAGAAAAGAGAAAGCTGAACCCTGGGCTATTGGTGTGCTGGTACACTGAAAAAATGTTTTCTCAGTACACACTATTAATGAGGCAACTGGGGTCTAAGGTGATAAATTAGAAATTCAAGCAAGGGCTTCAGAGCTCAGAAAAAAGTCAGACATTTGCAAATCCAAGCAAAGCATGATACATTTAAACCAGAGCATTCTGCAAAACATCCAGAGAGTCTTTTGACAGTTTTATGTTTCTAGCATACTTGTGATGGGATTCCTGTTCTCTGTCATTTAACTACCAGGTAAAAATAAAATTTAATGTTGCTGGATATACAATAACCTACCTTGCCATCTTCAGTATAGACATTTTCACTGTACCCTTTTACTATTGTCCGGTCAATGAAGAGGCTCCGCATCACCACTATCACTTTTAACACTTTTCCTAAGGTAACCTGTGAAGAACAAGAGAAGGACAAAAACAAGCTGAAGGAGAGTCAATGGTGTCTGAATTCACAAGACCATCAAGTTAACAGCTTAAGTTGATGCAATTTCAGCTTTCAATATTTTATAGACAGACCAAAATAAAAGATCTAAAACCATGGTGTGTGTTATGAGGAAGAGATCGACTGTAAAGTGCAGAACAAATAAACATTCATTTGCAACTGAAAATATATGAATTCACAGAATTCCCTTGTGTAGACATGACACTGCCAAGCAACTCTCTCAATTTTATTAACACCACGACTCAATAACTTGTGAAAAACAATGAGCAAATGTGATTATTTTCGATGTATTTGATATTCTCCAATATAAGTCCACTTAGAGAAAAATAATCTGAAAGACGAATCGGACTCTTCTAATGCTAGCTTTTAAAAGCATGTCATGAGCTTAATGGAAAACATTTTAGGTCCAGTAAAAATGTAAAATTGTTTAAAAGGAAACTACAGCTAAAAAGTAAAAATGTTACATTTTCAAAGATTTAATTTTCTTCTGTGGAAGTGGTAAAGTGTAAAGAATAAAACTAGTATCATGGAAAAATATATAGGGTCAGAGTATAACAACAGATATAACACTAAATTATTATATTGGCAAAAATGCAATAATGAAGGCATTTTAATCTAAAAATCAATTTACATTTCGAAGATGAACTTGCACTTCAATATTGTTAAGATGCGCGTCTAACAATAATTCTGTCTTTGTGTTTTGTTATACAGAGATTATTACAGAGTTTTTCCTCACCCACAAACACTAAATTATTATATTGACAAAAATGCAATAATGAAGGCATTTTAATCTAAAAATCAATTTACATTTCGAAGATGAACTTGCACTTCAATATTGTTAAGATGCGCGTCTAACAATAATTCTGTCTTTGTGTTTTGTTATACAGAGATTATTACAGAGTTTTTCCTCACCCACAAAAGCATAAAACTGAGATAAAAAAGAAACAATTATTTTATTTTAATATTTCCCAACCAGCAGCGGCTCATTTTCCATTGTCTGTGTTCCAACATTTAGTCCAGTGTAGATTAACACAGGCTAGAACAATTGTGTTTTTACTGCTGACCTCAGCAGACAAATCCACACCCAAAGAAATGAGTCAATATGCATCTTTATTGATTTGTTACATGTTTTTCCTTTTTAAATCCTGCTAATGACTCCTGCCTACCACCTTGTTTCAACATGAGTAACCTCAACCTGATGCTGACTAACTAAGAGACTAACAGGCAAATCAACTCTGAAGTGCCAAGTTGCTTTTCCCACCAAGAAGGAAGACAGAAAATCTGGCACAAAGACTCCATCTCAAAGCTGAGGCAGGGACCATGCTGCTGAAGGAGGGTTAGGAGGGGAAATGGTGGTAGGAATGGGATGACGGTACAGGACTTTGCAGAACAGTTACCCAAACTACTCTAAATGCTGCTTATTATATCACTATATAGCAGGACAGAGTCACAAATCCTGAAAAGAACTGATGACAATTCTTTGGCATGGGACATGGAGAAAGCAACTCTAGGACAGAGGAGTCTAAACAGGGAAGAACAAGTTGACAGCAAGAGAGACGACAGGGAGAAGAGACGGGAAAAAAGAGTCAGTGATAGACTTCAAGAAGACAGGCTGCTAGGTATAATTTTGCAAGAACACGAAGAGAAAAAGCAGGTCAGAACAATGGGTAAGTTTTTGAAGAAAAATGTTACAGGCTGAAGTAGGGTAACTTGTACCAAGGCCTGAGCCATGCACATCCCACGAACAGCTTTTTCTGGTTCCTGCCTTCTTACAATAGATTTTCTGAACGTGTATGGAACTGCCTAGTGTTCTCAGGCAACCATATCATGATATCAGGTACCGTGAATTTGGATCTAAATGTAGTTATCTTGCTGGGATACTCTGTAATAAGACCTAGTTGGTCTGCAAATAAAGGACATTGGCAGAGTTATTTCAGCACCTACCACTGTATCAGTTAAGTTAAAAATACAAAGCCATGACCCAGAGGTGCCTGATCTATGATGCTGATCATCCACTAGAATCAGAAAGACAGTTTTGTCATAACTGCTAAGATGAGGAAATGGAGTCACTTCGAAAAAAGTTGTCAGCACGCTTAGAGTTAACAGTTTGTTTTTATTTTTCTACCTTAGTAAGACTGGCACTTCGCTAGGATATAGGTCTACTGAGAGAACCGACTTTTGTAACTTCACACTAGGCATCAACCATATACAGTAAAATTAAAAGGAGGAAAAGAAGAAATTTTAAACAAAAAGAAAAGAAATCTTCTTAATGGAAGAGCAAAAAGGCTGCCCTACAAACACCCAGACCCAGCTTTACGTATAACACTTTCTATCTCCATTGCCTTCACGCACTTTAGTGGATGCTCACTTCTTTCCTCTTCCCTTACGTTCTGCATTCATGATATCTCACATTGCTGCCAGGTGGAAAAAAAAATTGGATGAAGTTGATCTGAAGCCTGTGTGGGATGTTCCTGAAAATCCTCAGAGTGAACAGTGGAACATAACAAGCTGAAAAATCCCATGTTTGGCACTCCAGCTTGCTTGAATATACTTATTGCTGGCCTCAAACCTCCCCACAAGATTTACCTGCACAAATGCTTTCAAAATGCTTCTGCATTAGCTCATTGCCTTTTCCCAGGTCATCTGTTTTCATGCCCTTCCAGTGATTTACTCCACACTTTCAGAATCCGTCACAGCTAGCCAGACACCAGCTACCATCCATCCTGCAATACTGAAAGGTCAAATTCTGCATACTGGTCCGGGACAGTAGCCTCAATCACCTACTTGCTTGAATGTCAAACAAGCAGTGTTACACCGTCTCCCACATGTGTCAGGAGCTGTGTAAAACCATCCTTAGATGGGTACCTAAGACTGTGAGCTCCCTGAGGAAGGCACTACTGTTGCAATCTCAGCTTAGACAAGGGTTTGTGCCAGGGGGTCCTCTCCAGGAGTAGGGGCACCCAGGCGTCGTGGGAATACAAATGAACTATTGAATTGCATTGCAACTTTGGCCAGGTTAGTGCTAGGTTGTCTGAATTAGCTCTTACAGTGCTCTGGCACTGAAACAGAAAACTTTCCTGTTTTGTGTCACTGTTGTTATGACATGGGATTCCTGTGGATTTTACACTGGCTGGAAGAGAGATCGGGACTTTCAGATTATTTTTGCAGGACCGTATCATTAGTGAAGTCTGACAGAAGCAGAAATTTTGTAAAACTAAGCGTAACTCGGAGAAATTATAGTTCATCATTTTAACAGCATTGAAAGAATGAGGCTAGTAGTACAAAAAATGAACAACAACCTGTCACTAGACTGGAGGATGCTGTTAGATTTGGAAGCCAAAAGTATGCTCTGCAGCTATTTTCAGGGTAAAGCACATTCCAAATTGTACACAATAAATGGGATACCCTTTATATTTTCCTCTAATAATCAAGACTTGTAACTGTTTTCAGGACTTAATGATTTTGTTCACCTCAACCGTATTTTACAAATCATGTTTTCCAGCAAACCATTTTCTTTCAATGCCTGCTCAACTTAGCTAACTGGAGTCCACGTTCAAAAAAGATCTATGTGTGGAATGTAATTTACACCTATAGTCATACAACTGTGTCCCTACAGATCACCTGAAAGAAGGTAGTAGAAACCTAATGACTCTGGTAAAAAAGTAATTTGATAGTTCTACTCTAAGCTCCAGTAGTGCAGGTCTCTCCTTCTGGAGGTCAAGACTCACCCAGATGGTCCCTATTTAATGGGCACTAAAATGTCCCTACATTTCCACAGATATCAACTGAAAGAAACTTCTTTCATTATACAGAAAAGATACCTTTCAATTGTGACAAAAAGGCAACAATTTCCTTTCTAAGCCAACTTTTCCTATTAAATTTCAACAACTTCTGTCGATATCCTGTTAAGACAGCACTTGGCTTTTTAATATTTCGCCTGAAGGATATATGCCAACTCGTCCTTGATGTAGAAAATTTTAATTCAAATCAATACATGTACAAGGTCACTTTAAAATTCAATTAATATGAATGAAAAAATATGCCCCACAGTTCTGTGAGCTGAAAATGGAACAGTTGCAAGTTAAATACTTCTGTAGCTTCTGTTTTGGTCTGTGTAATAACAATGTACTTCTAACTTCCTTTTAACTAAAGTGTACTAAATTCAGACAGTTAAGTTATTCATAAATCCCCTGCTTCCTAAAATGGCAAGCTCCAGAAGAAGGTAGGACAGGCAGCTGATTGAAATCTGCAATATTATGCAGCTTTTCTGACAAAGAGACATAAAATTAAAATATTGAAATATCCCAGTTTTAAAAATATTTTGTCTATCACCAAGATAATTCTCAAAGAGCATATGACAGACACTGCATGCCAAGAAAGGGGGAAGGGGAAACAGAATTATCAGTGAGAATGGCTTAGATAATGTCTTGTAAGACTGCTAAAAAAGTTCCCATTTAACATCACTTTTGGTTGGAAAAGAAATAAGTACCTCTCTAAATAAGTCAGAATTGGGGTAAAAATTAGTTTACAAAATGAAAAGGATCAAAATGATAATGTCTTAAGACTGCTAAAAAAGTTCCCATTTAACATCACTTTTGGTTGGAAAAGAAATAAGTACCTCTCAAAATAAGTCAGAATTGGGGTAAAAATTAGTTTACAAAATGAAAAGGATCAAAATTAATTTACCACGCCAGAATTCTGCCTGGAGGAAATAGCTTGAAAACCCCCCCTTTAATTTTGCCTCCTCACTGAAAGTGATACCAAATAAAAAGCCCCTTTATAAACAATTTTTAAAAAAATGCATTAACAAACATTCTTTCTTCAAATTTATTTAGAAGTTTGGTATTAGGAAAACATATGCTGACAACACCAAGCTCCAACACTTTGCAAAATATTCCCAAAGCTCCAGATTTCCTCTCAGCATCCCAGGGAATTTGCTGCTGATTTGA